TAAACGGTGAGTGAGTTTAGTGCCACACCTTCGCTTGCTAAGCTCTTCGCTTTCAGACACTCTCGAGCTTACTCAGGCTAAACTTCCGGTAGCTTTAAGGGAACAATATATTTTCCCTTGACCAATCGGTTGTTGGTCCTGATACTTATCGGCATATCGAGAAGCACGGCAAAGTAGAGACCGGATCGCTTTCACAGGTCCTGAGATATCACCTCCATCTCTGAATGCCTGAATGACGGTCCAAATTTTGTTTGATGCTCATTTGTGCTGATAGCTCGAGACCACCTCTATCACATTTGGGGACTATTGCAGTTTACCTCCACAAATTCAGTATTGGCGTAATTATTATTATTATTATTATCACTGCGATTTTATTGTTCTTTTTCATCGAACAGTGTTAATAGATAATATAGATTTATTTCTGCCAATGATCATTACACTGCACAAATTCCAGATAAGTAATATCCCTTTATCTTCTTTTATCTTGGACACATATGTTTACCAATAGGAGGTTTTTCGGCAAAATTGATTAATTCCAGAATTCAACTCGAAGTCAACTTGACCCCTTATTCATGCATATAGGCTCAAATGAACTCGGAAGAGAATGGACGCATTTTGGCCGCACATCGCCTGTTCGAACGGTTATCCCACGGAAAACGAAGCAAATTGTTACAACAAATGCAATTCCTTGCAGAAGCCTATGTGGAGTGGGCTAATGCGGATGCTGAGAAATACCGCACTCACTCAGGTACGCGTGATTGTCTGCTCAACCGATTATTCGACCTTCAGATTTGGTTGCAAGTAGTTTATTTCGTTTGGCTACTTATAAGTAGTCAGTATTTAAATGGAAAAGCGCGAGTCGTGGATGCCTTTTTATGCAGGGACATTCCAACAATTTTTGACTATCACCATACACTTCAATCGAATATGTCAGAAGCACATTCTGTTTCCAACATAGAAACCGTGTTCCTTCACTACCTGGATGATCAAATAAATCCAATGATTGAACAGCAATGAAATTATAAGTGTTTATCTAATTGGACGAACAATGGTTCACATGGTCATGAAAGAAGGACATCGTAGTCATTGGGCTCTTTCTTAAGATTTTCTGTTTCTCTCACGAAAAATAGCAAAAGTTTTAGTCTTAGTTAGGTCACGGCATGTTGTTACCTCCTCCCAAACTATACTTATTTTTCACTGTATTCATTTTATTCATAAATTATTTTGAAAAATCTTTTTCGGTACTGTCTATCAAGTTGTTAATGTGTATTATGTCTGTGTGGTTATACCATAATTCTTGTTGTTAGATTTTGTTATGGCTTGATGACCTCTTAGTACGTCATACTATATACCCCAATCACCCTCCCTTAGTTTTTTCAATATTTTCACTACCGCGCACACCATCCTTACACGTTTTGAGGTTTTGAACCTTACTCGAATTGACCACTTGCTACGGAGAGGTTGCGACGATTAAGTATCCTAAACAATCCACGTATTAGACAAGTTTAAATGAGCAGAATTTATAGAGATGCGATAATTTTTCAAAGCTAACTTCGTGATTTTTAACACTGTCGTTAAACTAATTTATTAAAATTTCTCTTCTTGGTTTTCCATTCCGTTACTATTCAGAATATTGGTAACAGTGCAAAATATTGCAAAAAAACAGAACGATACCATTTTTTGTCCCAGATTTCTGTGTTCATCCTGTACGAATTCGCAAAAAGAACCCGGTGCATAAGTAATTCCCTTATGTTTGCATGCGAATAATCACTTCGGTTGGCGTAGTAATACATTCTAAAGCCAAAATGGAAGCAAGCAGAATGAACATGCATGCGCAGGTGTACAACGTACAGGGAAATCTGCTCAGGACTAAAGGTCGCTCATGTATGTGAACATATGCGTTCACTGGGTACACTCGTGGCCACGTTTCTTTGTATGCACGTGTTCACTTGAGCTGAGTACAACAATGTCATACTACTCCATCGGAGTTTGTTGCCTCCAAAGGCTCCATTTTAGGTTATCACGCAGCCTCTCTGATTCACATGCCTAATTCACCTTCGTTTTCCTGGCCATTCATTTCACACATAGTTGGTACAGGAATAAGATAACTATTTCAAGAAACTAACTAACTAACTCACTTAAACGAACCTGAAATTTAATCAATCCCGTTGTTAAATGCGCTGAATGAGCACAAGGAGGTGAGTAGGAAGTTTGTTCAAAAACATCTCGTAGTTTTTGTCTTGTCTGTGTACTGGATAAAGGTTACTCGGTGCGTTAAGTTCTTGAAGTATCCAATATACGTCTGGGTTGTTGGTTCAATCATCGAGAGAGCAAAATGATAACTGTAGTGGCCAATGTGGTCTAAAGATAGCGATTGGGGTGCTATTCACCTGGTCGATGGCACGCGCTCCGATATGCCGCAAGCGATGGGCGGGAAAAGCTGTGGTAGAGTGTAGACCCTCGTCCGAGGTTTAATGCAGGTCGTTTAACGAGGTGACCTAGAAGCGGCCAACGAAACGTACACGGTTGATAGCAAATGTCCTCGGAATGAAAAGGCGTGCGCCGACCGGGATTCGAACCCGGGTCGCAACCGTGGGAGGGTTGCATGATACCCCTACACTATCGGCGCCCGCTGTGCCAAGTCGCGTTCATGAGTTTCAACCTGTTTTTTTTGTTTATTTCGTTTGCGTATGTTCAAGATATCTCTTTTTCGGTGTAAATCAAAACTAACTAGTGGTGGTTTGTAATTTTATTGCCTTTCTGCTTTACCTCCTCGCAAGTCTTTGAAACCAATAGTCGCCCAACAATGATGAAAAAGAATCATTATTATACCTATACTAATTTCTGACAAAAGTGATTTCAACAAAGCTTTTGTTTGTGAAAGTTACCATCAGAATAACTCCTTACATCCACTAGTTGACTACTGACACAAATCAGATAGTATTAGATGAAAACGCAAAAATGAATTTCGCAGCTATTTGTGTGAAATGGAGCGGGAGAGACGATAGAGGACATTCTCACCTTATATGTACGCATACGTAGCCCACCGTTCGAGTCGAGCCAACTTTGTTTGGCAGCAAATGTAATTAAGCTCGCAATGTTTCCACCCTCAGTGTGCTGATGTCTTCTTTCAAGCAAGCAGTTCGCGGCAGAGAATACCTGGCAGTATGAAAAGATGAGTAACGGAACAATAAGACGCATAAAGATCTTGTGAACAGCAGAAACCACGGAAGAAAAATAACCAGTAATATCTGTTCCTTGAGCAAATATTCGTTGTTTTGGAAGAAAAGTCTAATCAATTCAAAGTTTACTATTTTGAGAAGCAGACTTGCGGGAAGATGAATATAAAAGTCATCAGACTTTGAACGATTCTAAAGAGACAAGTGGTTTCAAACCACAGAAACTGAGCAACATACGAAACTGGGAAGGAGTAGCATCACACTTCGTTCTCTCAACACCCAAGGCTTAAATTGCCGAGGTCCAACGGGTTCTCTTGAACACGGATTTGGATATTTTACTTGCAAGAAGAACTCAAGTACTGTCGCTTTCCTTCACAAACGTATCATCATTAGATGACACAGCAGAAAGCAACAATAGTACCTTTTAGTTAAAACCACATGCGACCGAACCATAATTTGATGGGACGAGAAAAACTTTTTTTTATGATCCAGATTCAGGAAAAAGGTATCTTCAATAGCTCCATAAATTAAATACCTCTGGACCTTCACCGCAACCACCAAAGCGCCCAAAGATAGTAAAATATTCGGTGGTGACCAAAAGTAATTCCTTCGAACAATTTTCGCGAAAATACGGTAAGTACTCACGAGTAGTGTAAACTATGTGAATCATTAGACTCCTTTAATTAGATGTATAAAAATAATTAATATCAACTGATCTTCAAATTGTAGCACCAAAACTACATAACTATATTTTAACAGGAGTGCAGCTGTCGAAAGTGCACCAAGAGGTTACAGTGTTGTTTGGGAATGTCTGAGTTTATTGATCGAGCAACATACGATATTGCACTCCATCCAGGTAGTCCCAAATCATATCCCAAACGGGTCCGTACACGGTCTTCAATCGGCGCTTTATCCTGCACCAGAAAGCATAACCGTTGTTGGTATGAATGCAGGTCACAGAATATACAAAACCGTCTCAGTGCACACGCGGATATATCCCTACGACGTCAATGAATGGTAGATCGAACATTGGTGTGCGTAGATGGTAATTTCCGGTGCAACTCACTGCTACATTACTGGAAGAAAGTTACCTGCAGATCGGTCTTCCACTCGTTGGAACCCACCAAAATCCTTTCAAGGTCATTATTAAAAACAAAAACGCCAAAAACCCCTTCCTTACACAAACTGTACATTAGGCCTTATTAAAAAGTTAGAATTGTTATAAAAACCATTACAGTTCACGACGCTTCAAATTGACGAAGATTTAGGGTTAGGGTTACTACCAGTCACCCCCGCTAAACATCCTTTCGTGAATGAATATGAAGAACTGAGAGCCATGAAGATCTTCGACCAGAATATGGTGTGACATTGGAAGAGATAATTTGAGACACTTTGGGTACGATTTAAAAACAACACACCTGCTGCATGACTGCATCTTGACGAGGATCATCTCTGCCTTTGATTAACTGTCGACGCTGACGACCATCTGTCCCGAGGCAAGTAATGATCTTCGGCATGTTGATTCCACCGGCGAGGCGAAAATGTGGTGCGAAACCAGCTACACGGACAACATGCGGAGTAGGATAAAGACCGGATCGATCTACAGCTAA